TTCTGCCTATTTCCCTGATAATGCAAGTAATAGTTCATTTCACGGGCGCTCTTTCAAAATATTTCTCTCAAAAGTACAATACACAGTAAGAATATTTTAAGGCATACATCCAATATTTTCTGACCAGGAAGGGCAATGTATTTATACCCTGCATAAATGCCATTCTCTTTCATGATCCATGTCCTCATTTTATTTATAGCACTCGTGCACTAACATCATTGAGCCGGAATGTCAATTAGAAGTCTCATCTCTTGTTATCTCTGATGATCTTAGGAGGCATCTCATTGTTCTCAGTAGAGCTAGCCGGTCTTCTCAGTTGTTTCGATATCGTATATGCCTATGAATTTCCTTTATCCAAAAGCACACTCCTTGCCCCTGCCCACAAGATATACACAGCTCTGGGTCGGCGACATCACCAGAGCTCCCTTTTCCTGCGACAGCAGAACTTGCCAGGAGGAGAATAATCGGAATCTGTTCTCGTTTCCCGCCCCAACAGAAGGGGCCACCCATCTCCCAGGAGCTGCAGCTCGGTCGGTCGACATTGACAAATTCAGCATCACCGATCACTACTGTCACTCCGGAGGGGAGGGGAGAGAAACACAACAACAACCGCTCTCTGGCACCTCTAATCTACTCCGAAGTCAAACGCCACTGAGGAGCAAACAGGCCGCTCCCCTTGCATTGTTTCTGCCAACAGCCCAGCCTGGCTCTGAAGGAGCTTTTTGGTTCGGTCGCCGCCCTGCCCCGGAGCCGATTGCCGGGCAACGACGACTTACCCAGTTTGAGCTAGGCCGCAGTTCTCCTTCTTAGCCAGTCTCGGTAGCCCCGCTTAAAAGGAGCTGGCGGGTAACTGCATCTCCTACCGGCAAAAAGGAAGGCACCTCCTCCGAGGCGGGGCGGAGTGCAGTGCAGCCGGCGACACCAGCCTCCGACTCCCACCGCACCTGAGAGCGGGGCCTTCTCCGGCCCATGTGACAAACAAAGGCAAAGGGAGGGGGGGGGTGTCCGCCTCCCAGTTAAGGAGCATGCGCGCACTCCGCTCCTCGGTTCGCCTCGGCGGCGGGGGACGGGAGTTCGTCGAGCTCCTCTTCGAAGAGGAAAATGCAAAATAACGACTTCAGGAGCCGTCTTCAATCGTTCAGCGTCTCGCGTGCGGTTAACTCCGATCTCTCCCCCCCCACCCCCAGGGAACCGGGTATCGGGCTGCAGTTATGCGCAGTTCGGCTGGACTAAAAACCATTTGGGATGCAACAAGTGCAGCGCGCGTAGGTTTCAAGTCTCGCAGCTTGTTTTACTAGCGTGCAAGGCGAAGACGCGCGATGGATGATACTCCCAGAGTAAAAGGGGGTGGGAAACCGCAGAAAAACTTTCTTACGCCGGTAACAACCTACCCACCCAGTTCAGTGGATAGGATCTTTTTCTATACGAAAGAAAGCCTGGAAATTCAACGCCAGTCTTTTGAGAGCCTGATTTTCTGAATTTAGACTTGGCTGTTCTTAGAAAACCCACGGAGGTAACTTTGGCTACAAATTATCTCCAAAAAATGTCTAATTTTCTAACAATTGCCCTGCCATGTTAAAACTAACAAAATACACTTGTCTGCTCAACTGAAAAAGTCAATGCGATGTTAATTTTCTATTCAAATCTCATATAATTAGTTATATTGCTTCGTATTTACAAGAAACTTTTAATTAAACAATATTGCTTTAAGGCATGTGAACTAAGAATCCATATTCCATATGCAAACCCTTTCCCCCTTTAAAATCCTTTTAAGGATAAATTAATCCAAAGATAAATACTGTAACAAATATAGCATCTGGATAGGAATTATTCATTCATTGGCAGAAAATACAAGACCCTTAAAAGTCCATTTCTTTAACATTTCAAAGCTTTTTGTATTTTAGAAATGTGTAGCAAGAATCACAAAAGAGTAAGAAACAGGTACAAATTAATACCTATCTTTTTTACAAGTATTTGGAAAATGGACACATTTGGTAAAAAATCAGCATCAAGAACATTCTATGAAACAGTATTAGTTACAAGTGCAAAAACACAAATTTTGACATAGTTGGTTTCCTTTCCTTCTGACTATTACTTTCACTTCAAAAATGCTTGTTCTATGCATAAAGATCCAATAAATTCAAAAGTTTGGTTATCCCACCTTTTTTGTACAGGAGCTCAAGAAGATGTACACAGTGCTCTCTCCCTCCTTTTCCACACTGCAAGAACCTTATGAAATTGGTTGAACTGCGAAACAATAAAATGGCCCTAAGTTGTCCAGTAAGATTCTGTGGATCAGGGTAGACTAGAACTCAGATCTCCTCACTTTTAGTCCAGCAATGTGTACAGTCATAGCCATGAGCATCTATAAGATCTTGCTGCTGAAAGCAGCATCATGTTGTAAGCTTTATTCCTTTTGTACAGGGTCTGCAATACATGTATCACAATATATGTAAGTGTTAGTCTGGCATCCTGTTGCCATTTTTAGCATTCTTACCACCACATTTTTAATAACTACTATATCAAAAATCTATGACTTTAAAAAATAAACAAAATCTATGATTAAAAAAAGGAAAATAAACAATCTACTATCAAACTAAAGAACATCTTTTAAAATAGTATATACAATAAGCTCATTTGCATTTTTCTCAGCATACAACCACAAATTGAGGAAGCCAGTCTTTACAACACTGAATGCATAGGATTATTTCACCACTTATTTACTAATTTTCTGCTTTATGCTATGTTAACCTGTCACTTAAAATATGATCCCATTCAAATGAAACATTATTAGGGATTAACCTGCAGTCCATTCATAAGCATTTAAGTCTACCATAGTATCTATATCCAGAAATCTAAAAATCAAGTGCAAAATCCAGATCATAAAGCTACCCTTGACCTCAGTGATCCCTAAATGTGGGTATGGAACCTACCAACAAACTCTAAGAATCTTGTAGATATTACCATGGCAGAGAAATTGCTATTAGAAATAATGCAGTCCCTGAATCTATTTCAGTACACTGATATTTGATTAAGACACTGAGGCAAGATATTCTGACATTATAGCATGTTAGAGAGTGTTAAGAACAACCTTGTTCTGAAATAGAAATCCATTATGTTCTATTGACTTTCCAAGTTCTGGAATAAAGGGCACTTAGCAACCATAATGAAGGAAACAGAGAGAGAAAAGGTACCAAGGAAAATGGCTTCAGCAGCCTTAACATTTCAATAGTTTGTCCATTGAGGCATTATCAATCTCATGGAGAGATTAGATAATTCAGACATCACTATCAAATATTTAAATCAGATTGCTAGGATATCTTTTCATATTTGTTTGGGATATAGCAGATTTTTATATTTTTGAAACCCTTGCTTAGAAATAAAGTACATATTTCAGTTTAAAATACATACTTTGTGTTTTGAAAATGTAAAACTTAATACAAGGGGCTTGATATATGTAAGATAAAAAGTAGTGTAGCTATACAGGTGTCATAATTCTAAAAGAAACAAATAGTAAAAGTCTTAGATAAACTCTCCCAAAGTTCCCTTTGCACATTACTGAATACAAGTAACTCTGGATTATGCAAGCAAAAGAGCCAGGCTTACTGGCCACTGAGCCCTGTTTTTATTACATTCTTATCTCCATCTCCCTCTTCTCAGAAAATGAATCTACTGAGGAAGTTCAACAACTGCCAAGAAATGAAGACAGCTGAGAAGACAGTGTGAAAAATCAGTGGCAACTACTTTCAGCTGCCACTGTTGCTCAATTACCACACCATCACAACACGAGACGTAAGCATGATCAAGAACCTTCTGTATGCTCATCTGTCTCCTTTTGGGCAGTGGCTGTAGTTATTAGCAACCTTTTCCCCCAGTTTGGAGGAGGAAAAGATTCTTCTACAGATAATTGTGCATATGATATAAAATTGGGATTACCTACTTTTTTCAATATATATGACGGATTATTCAGTATAGAAACAAAGCTAAGTTGTTTAAGAGTGCTTCTTTTCTCATGAAAATATAGTTCATGTAGAATTTAGCACTATGAAGAAATGAGCAAATTGCTAACAGTAGCAACTCCTAAAAGTCATTCACTCACAAGGAAGTAAGCAAGCAGGAGTGTGCTTTATGCTGTGTTCCTTTAGCTGAAGAATGGAAAGAAGCAATTGCCTAATACTTTAAGTCAGAGTTCTCCAACCTTGGCAATTTTAAGACTTGTGGACTTCAACTCCCAGAGTTCCTCAGCCAGCTTTGGGAGTTGAAGTCAGTAAGTCTTAAAAGTTGCCAACGTTGGAGACCCCTGCTGTAAATAGCAGCTAGGTCCCCAAGTCTTTGGGGAGGTTACCCACTGGGCACTAATTGTAGCTTATAACATCTGACTAGCAGTGGTGGGATGAGACTACTCCTGAAATATTCTCAATGTTTGTGCCTTTAATGGTGCTGTTCCTAAGGCAGTGCCTCCCCCCCCCCCCCACCAAAGATAGAGAATGTAGTTACTGCTTCCAAGGAAAAGAGCGGATGAGCAAGTGATGGCAGGTGCTTTTTCAAATAACAATGGCCATTCACTCATTCATCCTACAAAATAATCTACCAGCAAAGTATTAATGGCTTCATCTACTTCGCATAGCTGGCTTCTTCCTTTAAGCAGTGGGAACTGGAGACTGGACTGCCATCTGTCAGAAATGGGGTAGGGTCTCCTGCTTTGGGGTGGGTGGGGGATTAGATGACCTACAAGGTCCCTTTCCAATTCTGTTAATCTGTTAAACTGCGTTAATAATCGGGTCACATTAGTAATTGGCTCAATAGCCGGTAAGCTAAAATCCTCACTTTCTTCCACCAAACAAAAGGCGGTGCCACCCGCTGTGTTCCACAGCACGCCTGCCCACCATTTATACAACTCATCCACACTAACCTGGACTAGTTCATACGCTGCTAGGATGATATCAAAACGGGCTAGTTGGTGGTTCAGTACCTAAAAATGCCGGTCTCGGTGATAGTACCTATTTAAAGAGGAGACGCCCACTGCATCGGAAGTCCCTGTGAAGGCTTCTCAGACCCCACAGCTAGCCCTGCTAGAGCCTCGCCAGCCACATGGGACCCGATGTAAAGAAGAGAAGTGGGGCTTCAAATGGCGGAAACCACAGAGGAGGTCAGATCGGCCTCTGGATTTAGGTTCCCGGGGCATCCATAGCACGGGAGCGGCCTTACGCCTCGCTGTCGAGTGAGAGAAGTGACCAGTGAAGAAGAAAGATGGAGCGTGACCTCCTCATGCCGGTGACTCTGCTCCGCAGCCCCAACCTTCCCCGCTACTCGGATAGGCATTGACGGAGAAAAGAGACACTTACCGAAGCCAAGGAGAAAAGTCCCCAGGCCTCTCTTCGCCGCCGTTTGAAATCACTAAGGATGTCCACACATCCCAATATCCCGGCTCCTCATTGGTTTCCACCGAGAATACCCGCCTCCTCAACCTGGAACCTTATTGGCTAGTTTGAATCTGGCAGTTGCGGCCGGGTTCCCACAAGAAGTGGGAGGTGGCGGCGATGTTTTTATTCAGCTGCTCTTTCTTGTCGTTTTTTTTTTCCTTTTCTTCAGAAATGTTAACTCCGGTGGTGGTGGCCGGTCTAGGCCTTGGCAACTGCCTCGCTCTCTATTTGCGGAGGAAAAAAAAGCAGGGAGGGCGCCGCAAGCAGGTCGCCGGCTCTAGGCTTTAAAGGGCGAGCTCAAAAGAAGACCCAGCCCCAAACCGGACCTCCCTCCCGCCTCTTGCTTCGCAGTTCCTGGCAGGGCTCTTACGGGCTTTCCGCAGAGATAGTGCTTTGACTTAAGGTAGCAAAATAATGTATGTGTAAGTTGTTGAAAAAACGGCGTGTGGTGACAAGAATGGGGTGCTTGTTTCCTTGGTGAAGTTTTACTTGGGGACAGCGGAATACCTGAAATGAAGCGGGCATTTTTAAAAAACAAAATAAAATGAGTGCCAGAAACCCAAATATCGCCCAGAATCTCTTAGAGACGGGTGGTCTAAACATTTAATTTATTTGAGAACATAATCTTTTTTTTTTTTAATCTCTTTTTATCTGTGGAAGGTCACTTCTAGTGGATCTTGGTTTACCTTGAAAAAGCAAAGAAGGGATATGGCTCTACTTAATACTTAGATGGAAGACTTATCAGAAAATTCCAGGGCTATAGAACATACTGGAAAATAAAAACACATTTCGAAGGAAAACAGTGGCAAAGCATGCCCCTGTTAAAGCCTTTTACAGTTTGGTACCCGAGTGCTTCCAAGACTGTCTGCTATGACCTCAATTGGCTCAATTTATTACCACCACTGAAAAAATTACGGAAAAGCATTGCTTTCAACGGGAACTCTGAAGTTTCTCTGTAATCAGTCTGGGGCCATTCCTAGGTACATTCAGGAAGATGTTAAAGACAAACCATATTCCAGAGAATGGTTTCATTTGTTGGCAACCATCTTTTCTGTTTTGTTTCAGTACTATAAAACTTTGTGTTATGTGGGTGTTTTAAATGTTTTCTTATTTGTAAACCACTGAAAGTTAACTAGATTGTAGTGGAGCACAAATGTAATACATAAAATATTGCTGTCAGGTAAGCAATATATACAGGAGTTGACATCTACTTGTTTATATTTTTAATCTTGCAATATTTTAATATTTTGGATACTAGCTGCCAAGTACACTCAGAATTATCTTCCATTTAGTATTTGGGAGCTTCGATGCAGTAACAACTGAATCTCCAGTGAAACAGTTCACCACATTATAAAAAAGATGTTGAGACTCTAGAAAAAGTACAGAGAAGAGCAATGATTAGGGGACTGGAGACTAAAACATACGAAGAACAGTTACAGGAACTGGGCTTGGCTGGTCTAGTGAAGAGAAGGACCAGGGGAGGCATGATAGCGGTCTTCCAATATTTGAGGGGCTGCCACAGAGAGGAGGAGGTCAAGCTATTTTCTAAAGCACCTGTAGGCCAGACAAGGAACAATGGATGGAAACTGAACAAGGAGAGATTTAACCTGGAAATAAGGAGAAACTTTCTGACAGAACAATCAACCAATGGAACAGCTTGCCCTCGGAAGTTGCGGGAGCGCCATCACTTGAGACTTTCAAGAAGAGATTGGACTGCCATTTGTCAGAAATGGTGTAGGGCAGGGGTCCCCAACCACCGGTCCGTGGACCGGTCCCGGTCCGCGGAACAACTCCTACCGGGCCGCTGGCTTGCTGGGCGCCGCCATCTTTTTTTCATGAAAAAGTGCTTCCGGTGAGCTTTTCCGGGTAGAAAGCTCACCGGAAGCACGTTTTCATCAAAAAAAGATGGCGCCCAGCTGATGCCGGTACCGGGCCACGGCGCCCAGCTGATGCCGGTACTGGGCCGCGGCGTCAAAAAGGTTGGGGATCACTGGTGTAGGGTCTCCCGCTTGGGTGGGGGGTTGGACTAGATGACCTACAAGGTCCCTTCCAACTTATCTGTTATCCATGGAAACCAGAAACCATTTTCTGTTACTTACTCTAGTGTGTTACTCTTGGTGAGTTGGGTTTTGGCAGAGAAGTTGGCATTCAGAGGAAGTTTCTAAAATCTGCCCAGAACAGGTAACAAAACATTTGATTTTAATTTAATTCCAGATTCTATGCCTTTCTTTTATTTGTCTTGTCTAATTAAACCATAAAGTATCTTGCCCTATCCTACTGGATATGGATTATAGAAATCAAGAAGTCAGAACACATATACAATCAAAATGCTAGGTATACAAGCATTTTCACGGTGAAAATTGAAACAGTACATCAGTTCCTACATGCATCTGGAGGTAGAGACAGACAAAAACAGGCTGTTCTGAAGTTAATGCTCATGGCATAATAAATATTGATAAGGGAATAGATAAGGGATATGGGAAAAATGAGAGTCAGCTTATATAGATCATACACATTCTGGTAGCAAAAGTTCACGCTATACATTCTGGTAGCAAAAGTTCACGCTACATATAAAGCACATCATCCCTTTGCATTTACAGTATTTAGATTTCACATTAGATTATTACATACATTGATTTCAATTTCTAAAAATATAAATATAGGAAGGTTCCAAGTTTAATAAGCATGAGAATTTAACAAATTAAGTTGGCAAAAAAACTTCAAAACATATTAGGCAATATGAAAATAATATGAATCTGGTATGAACCACTTTGATTCTAGCAGAGAGCCAGTTTGGCCCAGCAATTAAAGTGCTTAGCTAGAAGCATGGAAACTTCACTTTAGTTCTGCCTTAGGCACAAAAGCCTGCTGGATCACACTGGGCCAAACACTTTCTCTCAGTTCTACAAAAAGGAAGCTGCAAATAATTTCTAAAAATGCTGCCCAGATAATTGGATTGATTTGTTCATTTGGTCACTAAGAGTCAAGTCTGACTTGAAGACAGAACCAGAGGAGAATAAAGTACCATTTAAATTTGTTAGCTTGCCCAGGTAGAAATTGCTAAACTCATAACCAGCAACAAAATTTCCTGTAGGAATGCTACGAATCGTTAGGGGGTGTATTTCTACTTTAAAAATGCAGAGAAATTCTAAATAACATTTTTTACAGTACAAAATTATAATTTAGAATATCAATTCCTAGATAATTCTGTGTTAATTTTTTTTTAAAATTTATCTAGTCATCTTTAGGCTTAATGCCAGGATTAAGATAATTAAAGACAAAGTACAGTAGCCTAATCTTACACATGTTTAATGAAACATAGATACTATTGTGTTTAATGGGACTTTCAGGACACAAAATGTAGAATTTCTGCCTCGGCTATTGTTAAGTCACTTAGGTGATATATGTGATTTGTCTTTACATGATTGAGGCAAAACTAGATACAGGTAGTCCTCAACTTTACAACCATAATTGAGTTTGGAGTTAGGCATCATGTGACCAGACCTAATTTTTGACATTATTTTGTACAGACATGATATTCTTCCGATTAAAATCGGAATTCCGATTTTTTTGGGAATCGCCCCCCCCTTCTCCTCCTTCCCCTCCCCTCGGAGGCCCCGAGTCAGGAGTTGCTACCACCGGCGCAGCTCTGCGTGGCTCCAGTTCCACGTTGCCTCAGGAAGGGAAAGGCAAAAAGGAAGAGCCGCGGCGGCGCTTTGCAACGGCAGCAGCGGCTCCTGGTTTTGCCTTTCCCTTCCCGAGGCAACGCGGTGCGAGCGGAGGCTGGGCGGTGCGAGGGGCGGGTGGGCGGGCGGTGCGAGCGGAGGCCGGGCGGGCGGTGCGAGCGGCGGGCCGGCGGGCGGTACGAGCGGCGGGCGGTGCGAGCGGCGGGCGGGCAGGCGGGCGGTGCGAAAGGGAGCTGGGCAGCGATTTCTTGGCACGCGGTGGGGGGGGCTCTCTTTTGGCCGGCCCCGATTTTTTTTTCAGAGGGGAATATCATGCCTGTTTGTAGCAGTTAAGTAAACACCAGAGTTGCTAAGTGAACATCACATTCATTAACCAAATACTGTGTTCGTTAAATGAATCCATTTTCTCCAATGAGCTTTTTTTGCCAGACATACAAATCAAAACTCCAGAAACTGGCAAAAAACCAGCACAAATTGTCATGTGACTGCAGGACATTGCAAAAATACATAAAGATAAGCTAGTTACTAGACACCCAAAATATGATCATGTAATAGCATAGGTGCAGCCATTTTAACTTTGAAAACAGGTTATAAATAACTTGGGGGGGGCATCATAATGTCAAATGGTCATTAAGCAACCAGTAGTAAGTCAAAGGCTACCTATAAACACATTTTAATCACAGATGAACATGAAATCCCATGCAGCCAGATTCCACTATCTATTTTTTGTTTCCTGTAGCTCATTCATTTTTTAAAAAAATATGATTGCATGTACTCGTTTAAAATCCCACTGCTTGGACCGGTGAATCAAACAGGAAAAGAAATAAAATATGTGCCCTAGAAAGTTTTTCACCAAACCAGCTGCTTACTTTTGAGCTTTGACAAGATTATCTAAACTCTGTTGCCTATCAATATATAGTATACTCACTCCATTCTGTAGCCAGGATCCAATCCTGACATTTTAAGCATCTTTTAACATTTTAAAAGCCATCTTTCCCAGTCATTACTTCCCTTGCTGTTTTTATTTTAATTGATTTTTAAATTCTGTTTCATAATAATTATGGAGCTCTAATGTTACCGATATGAAATTTAAATGTGAAGATTTTGAAGTGACAAATCTGCCATTTAAGAAATCCTGCCAATTCACAATAGCTAGGTTGGACAATGTGTAAAATTGTTACAAATTTTTAACCCTGTGGATACTTTTAAGTCTGCTTGTCAGAACCATCTATGTTATTCTAAGCATGGAGTCCAAGCTTAGGATAAAAAAATGGCTATGGCACTACCATACCAAA